GGGGGGGGGGGGGGGGGGGGGGGGGGGGGGGGGGGGGGGGGAGTTCTTTACAGAGAGAGTGGTGAGGTGCTGGAACAGATTGCCCAGAGAGTCTGTCCCCAGAGATGCCCCATCCCTGGAGGAGTTCAAGGCCAGATTGGATGGGGCCCTGGGCAACCTGGTCTAGTATTAAATGTGAAGGTTGGTGGCCCTGAATAAGAAAAGATTTTCAAGATCTTCAAGTCCAACCATCCAACTTTCAAGTCCAACCATCAACCTGACTGACAAAGCCCCATCACTAAACCGTGTCGCCAGGTGCCACTTTCACTTGTCTCTTAAATACCTCCAGGAATGGAAACTTCAATATTACCCAAGACCAATGCCCGTCCACTCTCCCCATAGAGGAACTCTTCTTCTTATCCAATCTAAACCACCTTTGACAAAACTTGTGAGTGTGTCTTTGCTTCTTACAATTTGTCACCTAAGAAAAGTGACTTACACTATTTTTGCTACAACCTCCTATTAGGCACTTGTTCAGAGTGATGAGATCTCCCTGCAGCTTCCTTTTCTCTGGACTAAACAACTCCTGTGCCCTCAACTGCTCCTCACAAGTCTTGTTTTTGAGTCTTTTCACCAGCTCTGACCTTCTCTGTATATGCTGAAGCAATATCTTATTTACAGTGAGGACCCCAAAACTGGAGGTGTGGTATCTCACCAGTGCCATATAAAGGGGAAAGTCACTTCCTTATTGCTGCTGGCTAAGCTATTTTGATACAAGGCAGGATGCCTTTCTTGGCCACCTGTGCACTCTGTTGGCTCATCTTCAGCCAGCTCGCAACTAACACCCCAGGGTCTTTCACTGTCAGGCAGCTTTACAGCCACTTATCCACAGTGAAGGATCCAACTGCACAGTGTTTTTGTGACTCAAGTGCAGCACCCAGTACTCAGCCTTGTTGAATATTGCGCAGGTTGAGTCAGCCTATCAATCCAGCCCATCCAGATCCTTCTGCAGCACCTTACTGCACTCTAAAAGATCAACAATCCCACCTAACTTGGTGTTATCCACAATCTTACTAAGGCTGCACTTGATCTCCTCATCCAGATCACTGGCAAAAAAAGCTAAATAAAACTGGTAGCAAGAATTGCAACCACTGCCATGGAACCAGATTGATGCATTAGCTTCAGAAAAACAAAGTCAGCTATCCCATTAGTTTTATGGTTTAGCTACTGCTTTGAATATTTTAATTAAAAATAAGTTTTGCTACATATATATGTTAAGTATAACTGGTGGTACGTCAGTAGAGGTTGAATCTTCCCACCAGTATTCCATTCCATTCCATTCCATTCCATTCCATTCCATTCCATTCCATTCCATTCCATTCCATTCCATTCCATGTTGTTACCATGCAACAGATGGCAGCAGAGGAGCAGTCTGATGGAATGGCCTCTGACATGGAAGTGCACGTGAAGCAAAGGGGTGTCACTGAATTCTTCAGTTCAGAAAAAAATTGTACCTGTCCATTGATTCTTGCTGAACACAAACAATGGATGTCAGCAGGTGGATGAGGTGATGGAGGGTGATACGTTTTGGCAGTGGTGACAGTGGGTCACTTTTGCTGGTGCAGGTTTTTGCCTGCATGGCATGTAGGCTTCTGTTCATCAGTGGTGAAAATGCATAGCTAATGATAGTGTATATGTTGAAAATTAGTGTTTTGTAGCTGAGAATTTCCTGTATGAAACAGTGTTCTTGTGCTCTTTGAATCTGTTGTACTTAGCATAAAAATAAATAGGAAGTATTACTTTTGGAACAACCTATATGTGGCTCAAAACAATTCCTCTTAACTCAGTACAACCCAGACAAACCAAAAGGTTGGACACCTTTTGCTCTAAAACATCAGCAGACATCTACTACTGATTGAACTGTACTTTCTTAAATTTACCTTTGCTTACTTTATGTTCATCAAGAACAGGCTTTTCATTTCTGGAAACTTAAAAACAATATTTATTTGTAGAACAGTGTGAGATATATGATAATGCGCAGTATTATCCCTAATAGAAATGCTTTCACAGTAATTCTTTCAATTAATGTGGAGATGCAGTAAATAAGTATGCATTTTAAACAGTATTTATTTGTTTCTGTTTATTGCTTTTTCTCTACAAACATGGACTGAAATATATACTAATATTTAACATTAGTAAGTTAGTTAGTTAATTAGTAACTCTGTTGCTACTTCCATGAAAGTAAAAACAATCAAACAAAAAAAGACCGCAGTCTTTATCTCACAATTGAGCTGAACAAGAGAATATAATGCTAACTGTGAATGATGCAATCATTTGACTTGTTAAATGGTTTATCTATCTGATTACAGTATAATGTTTTGCAGTCTACTCATAAAATTTTAAATGTGCCACAAGACAATAGGTCCATTTCTGATGTTGTTAACATCTTTGTTTTACAGACAAATTTGTTCTTTGCTTGCAGCATGTAAAAATGCAGTTCTTTCTTACCTATAGCCACATCTGCTATACACAACAACATGCCCAGACAACAGCAGAGTAAAAATTCTTTTGCTAAACATGTCTAATAATCCACAACATTTCAAACATGACCACTTGAAGTGGTCATGGAAGTTATGGATAGAAGTGTTAAATTCATTTAATTGTGATCCTTCTGTTGTTTGCCTTCAAGTCTGTGCAGCTGTTAAGCATGTACTTCTCAGTGAGTATAGTACACATACAAAAAAAGATTTTCTTTGATTCCTAAGCTGCCTACCAACAACAAACTAATGCATCTGTCTAGTCCTTCCTCTGAAGCAGGTAAGAAATCCAAAGATCTGAGTTCTAAATGGAAGGACACAAATAGCAAGGACAAAGAAAATACTGTATTTATCCATCTAGCTTACTTAGAAGATGCTAAATTTGGTTCTCTTTTCTTTTTCTTTTTTTTCCTACTCTAGTAGTACAAAAGCAAATGCCACATATTGAGGTTCCCAAAATTCAGTTGTTTAAAAGCCACAACAAACAAAGCTGTAATATGAAGCAGTTATCTTAATTTCACAAATAGGCCATAACAGCTATTTTGCAAATAAGAATTACTTTGGGGGGGGGGGGGGG